GTGGGCTCCGCCCACTTAGCCGAGTTATCGACCCCTCCCAAGCTACTTAAGGCACTTGTAACCCACTTCGAAGCCAGGTGGGGCCAGATATAACCCTCCTTGGCATCCACTTGCAACCCCCCTATCCACTTAGAACCCCCCACAGTCATCCCAGTAGGGGGGGCACGTCGTGGGGTATCGCGGCGCTGGAGCCGCCGGAGGTCTGGGAAGGTTCAGGTGAGGGGGGGGGGGGCGGTAGGCGGCGCGCTGAGGCGGCGAGGCGAACGGGAGCTCTCCATCGCTCGGACGTCCATTCCCTGTGTTTTTTCCGGTGTCGTGCGTGGTTTTTTCGCCAAATGATCGACGATGCTCCTCGATGGTCCTCGCCGAAGGAAAAATGCACACGCCCGAGCGATGCCAAGGGAGCGAGCCGCCTCCGGGGGCGGCGGGGTTCTGAGACGCCCGCCGGCCCCTCCGAGCAGCCCCCCCACGGTGGCTGGCCACCGCAGGGGCCCGCGGGCCTGCCGGCCGCGGGGCCTGCCGCCGAGACGTGCCGAGGCCGTCCGCGCAGGTGCGCGCGGAAGCCGTGCCGGGGCCGCTGCCCAGGCCCTGCACGCTGGACCTCCACGACTGGAACGCACACGATGTGGACCCCGATTGGGTCAGAAGTTGCGCTGCTGTGCGCAAGTGGAGCTCCAACCATGAGACGATCGGCGGGAAGCTGAGCCTCGGGGCTGAGGCTGCAAGACCTTCCCACGCCACTGAAGCACGGGGATTCTGAATGTGCATGATTGCGTGGGCGTGAGTGATGTCCGTCTATCGCTGTGCTTCTCCATGCAGCGTCTTGAGAAAACGCTTCCCTGAAGGTAGAGTTGCCTGCGAGGGCCACATCCCAGTGCTCCCTCCTCCCTCGACCACGGTTTCATATAGTTTTCTTGGATCCTGGACCAGCTGCGACATGCCATACAACGGATGCCGATCCATTTGCTTCCCGACGACGTTCTCGGGAGCAATCAACCCAGCACCACACGCAGCTGCCATGGCAACGTGAGCTCCCTCTGAACCTGACTGAGGACCTCAACGAGCTCCAACCTGCCTTCGGTGGGAAGGCGCTGCACCTCCGAGGAGGCGGAGGAGGCCCGACCCTGCCAAAAAGGCGTCGTGTCTCGGTGATCTTCTGACCCGGGTCAATCCAGACCCGGGTCAGTCAGACCTTGCAGAATCCTGCAGGCTCCTGCACCCAAGCCCGGGTCGATGCGAAGGATCCTGCAAGCTCCTGCAGGATCCTGCACCCAAGCCCGGGCCAATGCGGATCCTGTCCCTGCAGTATCCTGCAAGAGCCGGCGCTCTGGCTGACCCCCGCTTGCACTGACCCCTGTCTCTTGAGGAGGAGGAGGGGGAGGAGGAGGAGGAGGAGGAGGAGGAGGAGGAGGAGGAGGAGGAGGAGGAGGAGAAGGAGGTTTGCATTGAACCCCCGCCTCTTGAGCCTCGACGCCCTCCCCCAGATGGGGAGAGGGAGGAGAGGGAGGATGAGGATGAGGATGAGGATGAGGAGGGGAGGAGGGGAGAGGAGGAGGAGGAGGAGGAGGAGGAGGAGGAGGAGGAGGAGGAGGAGGAGGAGGAGGAGGAGGAGGTCTCAAGGCTCCCGAAACTCTGCTGGCGCGGGCCCTCTGGGTCCTGCTCTCGCCGAGCTCCAGCCTCCGCCACCTGGGGTGCCAGCGCCTGGGCGCCTGATGGGAAAGCTGCGGCCCGCCGCCGCAGGGCCCTCGAGGCCCGTCCCCAGAAGGAGAAGGAGAAGAAGGAGGAGGAGGAGCAGGAGGAGGAGGAGGAGGAGGAGGAGGAGGAGAAAAGAAGGAGGAGGAGGAGAAGAGGAGGAGGAGCAGCAGGAGGAGGAGGAGGAGGAGGAGGAGGAGGAGGAGGAGGAGGAGAAAAGGAGGAATAGCCAGTCGGCCGCTCGCATCTGGAGCTGCATATCGGGGCAGCCAGCGGCCTGCAGCTGATGGAGCAGGCAGTCTCACTCTCCTCTCTCTGGTCCTCTGGGGTACCAGTGGGTAGCATTGCGATCATCCCTCTCTCCTCCCTCGACCCTTCAGTGTGGCGCTGCCGCTGCTGTCATCGCGGTCGCGCTTCGATTTTGCATTGCTTGCTGTGAAAAAGGAGGTGGAGGAGGAGGAGGAGAAAGAGAAGGAGGAGGACGATCAGTTTTTTTAATCATTATTTTTCTGTCTTTTGTTAATTTGAACATCTTGGCACGTTCTGGGCGGTTCTAAGGGGGTCCCACGGGGAAACTTGGAGGCTCCAGGGAGGATGGCCAAATCTGGGACAGAAGGGTCACAAAGGTGGAAGAGGACCAGATCGGATCGGATCGGCCCTCAACGAAAGCAAGTTGCATGACCTTGGCAGCCAGGGGGGCACGAAGCTATGCTCCACAGACAGGTGGAAGAGCAAGATGGAGCAGGGTCGGGAGAGGGAACCTGGCTCTGCCAAGCCTCCCTGAGCCCAACTTGAGCCCATATCCAAG